AGTTTTTGTGAAAGTAGCTTTGTGGCTTCTCGTTCCATTAAAGGCAGAACAAACACCTTTTTCTATCTGCAGAAATGGAGACATACGTGGAACCTTTTCCGGTCAGGATAACTGGCATGCCCCCCTCATTTTAAGACCCTCCCTCTGGGTAAATGTGGTCTCCTCTCCACGGTTTTAGATGTTCCTGCCCATGGTTTCTGCTGTCTGCTGGGGAAAGTGAAAACACTCAGAGTTACTTTTTTATCCGTTGGGGCTGGATTTAATGCTGATAAGAATTTTTCTAAATCATTTAAAATTTCCCAAATTGTATAAACATTTCTAATGATATAAAGTTTGACTTAATTTGCTGCTGCGATGTTTATTTCACATAAATTCTTAATTACTTGTTTACCCAAGGTAAAAACCACCAATATGACCAAAATCATTAACCCTGTAATAATGTTGTAGCTATAAGTTACATTTGTAAAAAAAATTTTAAAAAAGTATCAACTAGCAATTCAACAAAGTAGATTTGTTAGGTTACTCATGAGCCCATAAAGTTCTGCCTTTTTTAATGAGATGTGTCTTTTCTATTTGAAACATGAAAAAAGTTTTTTACCATTAAAGGTGTGGTCACTGATGGCAAATGCAAAATGTAGCAAATACTGTCTGCTACATGAGTTTTATCTTTCTGAGATTTACCTGCCCATGCAGAAACCGTTGCACCCAAAGTCGGTCCGTAGTGCACATGCACATCTCTGGGCGCTTTCTCCTCTCTGGCCTTGGTCAGTCTCAGCCGAGCGCTTCAGACGCACCGGGCTCTGGTAGCTGGACATGCCGTATGGAACCGTGTGCCTGGAAGGTGACCAGTGAGAGAATTACCAGATTTATAGCCACAGCTTTTCAGATGCTGTAACAGCAAAGTGGTATGAGTTTGTATATTTGGGGAGGCTAGAAGTGGTGTCCAGATATCCAGATTCTGCTGGTTTTGCCAGTGGTATTGTTCAATTTAACCCATTCAACTGTCCGGTGTGTATTCAATATTTGTCAAAATTTGTCAAAAATGTCAGATAAATGACGTAAAGATAAACACTTTCGAATAAAAAGCTAAAAATAAATTCACAGTTGTCCATCCCAGCAATGTTAGCAGTGCACACACTTTACAAAAAGTGTACCATTAACAAATTAAAAAAAAAGAAAATATTTGACCAGAACAAATCAGATACTACAGCTGTACAGCAATAAAGCCAAAATGAACAATCGTCAGCTCTGTGAATTACAGACATTTGGAAAAATGTTGAAATACAATGCTTGTGTCTTTCTCTCCATCATCAGGCCAGACCCAGACCTGATAATTCCACCATAAATAGTAATAAGAACTTCACACTCAGCAGCACTCTTTTTATGTACGCGTGGGATTTGTTTGGGTAAAGACATTTCAAACCAGTTAGCTCACAAGTTAAGACAAATTGAACATGCTCCCAGTTTGTGCCTTAAAAGTTAAAACTAAAATACCACATGGATTATTCGTTCTTCTGTGTGGTTTAGATTTAGTCGGTTTAAACACCAGGTCATATGTCATGTGACAGTGTCCCTTCATAAGTCACTGAATCCATCTTAGATTTTATTATCTTATTTTTGTGAATGTGTGTATGACAGAGAAAAGGAGTTCAGATTGAGGTAAAGAATTAAAGGTATCTTTCTGATCCCCAGGAGAAAACCTGATTCACACCCAGCATTATAAGGTAGTTTAAAGCCGTAAACAGAACATTTCAAACGCAGATTTGCTTGAACGCTGCCATTTACATGACAGATAATAGCATAAATTACTAACTTTTTTAATCCCCATGTGTCAATTAATGCACACTGTTGAAAGCAACTAAATCTCACATTTTAAAAGCATGGTAAAGCATTTTTCCTATCGTTGTGTCAATAGAGTAAGAGAGTTATGAGCTTTTCAGAGATGAATGTGTTTCTCTTAGAATTGACTGAGAGAAAGACTTGTGGAAGGCTTAAGTTAAGCATCATAGAACTCACATAACAAGGATTATACTCAGCATTGATCAGTATATACATAGTTCTGGTCCTGTCTAATACAGATTCAAACCAGTTTAGGGCTTTTCTGACACTCATTTATCTATTCACATCTGAACCATATTGATCACAATGAGATTTTCACCATGTGTCCTGTCATAAGATGCAATCAAAAATGAGCTAAGGAACCTCAGAAATTGTACAAATCAAGAAGAAAGAAACAACCATCATTTTCATCGCTTATTCCCAATAGTGTCGTGGGGGAAATAAATGTTGAGGCAAATTTAATCACAACAAACAATTGATTTGCTCAGCTCTCCACAAAACAATTCTTGTTTGCGGTCAATAAATTGGACTTAATGCTTCCACAATTTCTGATTTTCAACCACACTCTGGCTAGTATGAGTAAAATACACATCAATGGTAGCACTACCAGGACTGGTTGAATTGTGACACAATGTATTTGTTAAATTATTTGGCATATTGTTCTAAATGGTATTTTCTGTATTTGTACTTTGGTTGTCTCAGACCTTAATGTGACTGTGTCAGCAAAGATAGCCCCACCATCTACAGTCTTACGTGTCTAAGGACTAATCTCATCCATCTACTGTATGTGCTTTACTACCAGGAATCTTTTAGTTTATCATAACAACTCCTGCTAATGTGATGGAGGAGACTTCCCCAAATTGTTCATGAATATTACATGCAGGATATATAGTTTCTCCCACAGTAGCAAGTTGAAGACCTTTAATTAAAAAAAAGTCTCTAAATATCTTTATTCCCCAAACACTCCAGTAATAAAGAATACTTAGGAAAGATCTTCTTCTTCTCCAATAAGTGGTATTAGTATAGATCAGTACATTTTTCCTAATTCAGAGAGAAAGCGTATACTCTGGCCTCAGACACACCCCCACACTTAAGATAAAGCTGTTTCCTGAGTTTTCAGCAAACCCTCATCTAGCTTTCATTTAATTTGCACTTGTTTCTCATTACATTTGTTTTTCACAACACTAAATAGCTTGACATTCCCGCCACAAGCTGAATCATGTGACTGTATCCCCAGAGAGGGTTTGACATCACCTATTTCACTATAAAATGTTGATCAGCCTATTTGATAAATAAATCCTCCCCTACAACAGTGATGGCTTATTTAGTTCCTGATACTGTCTACTTGCTCATATTATTAACTTCACAGAAAGATAAAGAAGATTACACAAGCACTGAAAGTGAGAATAATTATCATTAAAGGTTGGAACAAGAAGCCCTCCATTCACTACTTTGTATTCTTTTACAGTTGTAACTTTTATTTTAATATAATCAATTATCTCAAAATATAAAATATAAAACCTTGGTGTTAGTTTTGGCAGCTCTTGTAAATTTGTTAAGCTAATGAGTGCAGTTGTCAAAACGATATTTTTCAAAGATGAATTTTAGCCAATTGCAATCTTTCACCTGCATTATACAGATTCTGTATGTCAGCCATGCCTTTATGTTTATGTGGATAATAAGCTGGGTCCCCTATTTCTTTTTCTAACAACTACAGTTACTTGACTTTTAACATGAGAAAAAAAGGATAATCATATCATACCAGTATTGGCCTAACTGGTTGCCTTCTAACTGTTTCTAAAGGTTGGTTGTTAGGGTTTTTCTCCACTTTTTAAAGCCGTAAATGGTCTGTCTCCAACAGCTTGAGTCATTATTGTATTACTAACTTCTATTATTTAGGTCACAATAGAAGTCAACTGTTTAAATGCAATTGGAGGCTAAGGAAATCTAATTGTAAACATGATTACCATCATGTCCTTGCAGTGCCTACCTATAGTTTTATTGGTTTGATTAGCTATTTTTTATTTTGAGTGATGTTTTCATAATGTACACTAATGCAATACATTAAAATATTATCTATGAAAATGGAGGTCTTGAGGTTTTTATTGATAATCTGTTTATTGAATTCCTATTAAATGGTAAATGGATACCAACCAGAGATCAGGATTCAAGGACTGACCAGGATTGATTTGAACTTGATTGGAACTCAACATTTTATCTCTTAGTGAACGCTGCTACATAGGCAAAGACCCAGAGCTGAAATCTTGAAACATTACCACATCCCATCTAGAAGTTAAACAATCCGACAGGTTGCTAAAACCACTTAACTCTGATGTAAAACCGAGGTTACAAGCTCCAAAAACACTGATAAGACTTTCTCAAACTGTCTATC